ATGAAACATCTTTACACTCAGGCTTTTATAGCCTTTCAGGGTATATGCTGAAAATTTGTCTGCAAAAGCTGGTGCACTTGGGGGTGAAATGGTTCTGGTTTGAGAGAAGCAACAAGAAAACCCATTGTCACCAATCACTATAGTATCTTTCCTTTAAAAGACAAAGATTCCAGAAATTAGTTCCCAGAAATTAGCTCCCAGAAATTAGTAAGTGAACTACTAGAATGTTCTAGAAAGAACTGATAATTCTCATAGCTTCTACTGCTTACATAAAAGCAAGGAATTGAGGGACTGAAAATGYTTTTATTCAAACCAGAAGGGTCGACAGCATTTCAATATTAAAYGAAAGTGATCAGGTGTCAAAGACATTTGACTACATGAATGTACATGAAGCAGACAGAAACCCCAGAATTGCTGTACAGAAGGCCAGGGTACAAGGAGGACTCACCTGCTTCCATTGAGATTCTGGTTAAATCTTGGGGTRTAGCTCTCTTCCTGCTCATCATCTTCATCCTCTGTCGGAAAACCATACTGTGGTTCAAAGTATGGATTGTCATACTCTCGCTTCCTCACCACCCCTTCTGAGGAGCTCACACTGCCAGCTGCGATGTCACTCTCGCGACGATCCAAGCTTATCTTGGGAAAGCTTGGTTGCAGTGGCAAGGAAGASAGATGGTTTGAAAATCCAGCAGCCAACTTCTCTTCTATTTCTGCTGAGTCTGCTGCCTCCTGTGGACCAGTCAAATCATTGATCTGTTCGCTAATTTGCGTTACATACAACTGAAGGGTAGGACAAGAACAATTATTTCAAACTGGGAAGTCTGCATAGTCCTTGCCGCTTGCTACGGGGCCCCCACCACATCCCCACCATCTGTGTCTCTAAACTAGGATTTTATATACACTGCAGTATTTATGCTTTGTTCTAGGGACTTAGTGCCCTGTAAAACAGCCCTTACTAGTAAGTGTTAGCTCATGGCTTTCCATCACCATGTTCCATTCTTCTTAAATGACCACAGATTCATGAGTTTCCCCACCCCACTCCCAGCTCCCCTAAAGACACCAGATCTWTCCAGACTCTGTAAAAGCAACTCCTGCATTCCCACCCTGGACCATCTCTCTTTGCTAATGATACATTTTTCAATGCACTGGAATGTTTTGTACAGGAATGGTCTATCCCAGCATAAGAGGGTACCAGCAAACTCCACCTTGCTCAGAAAGTCCAGGGTGAGCATGCAATTTAATCTGTGCACGGTGTCACAGTCCTATTAGCTTTTGCCCTTCTCAGAAAGAACCACGTGCATTCTCCCATTCTTTATATCCTAATACGCTGATCTTGAGGCTGAACTCATCTCAGTACACACATGATTCACTCCATGGATGACAGTGCTGGGGCTGCTACTGGCTGTAGTACTGGAACTTGAACGAGGCTGGTTATTCTCTTGGGAGTTCTCACTGTCCATGGGCTGTTCATCAGGATCCCCTGAATATTCTTGAAAATCATCAAATTCCACTTCACTAGCATCACCAAGGGCTGCATGAGTCAGGGGGTCAACATCTGCAAACACATCATTTTTCATTAAACATTGCTTTCCTCAGCCTTCGGCCCATCTAACTAAATATGCCTAGAAGATGAGGATTGCTCAASAGCATAAACTTGCATAAACATTTAGGTTGTAAAGGGCTTTTGGATGTCACCCATGCCAATTCTCTAAGCAGGARTAACCTCAAAATTAAAGCAGGTTGCTTGGGGTTTTGTCACACTGAGTTTTGAAAGTTTTCAAGGCTTGACATTCTGCAGTGATCTTGGGAACCTGTTCAACTACATTAACCATGAAGTTCTTTGCCTTATGTCCATGCAGAGTTTCTTTTGTTGCAGCTTATGATTATTACCTCTTATCCTTGGGACATGGGAAATGTTTCAGGACTTCTAGATTTAGTTTACTAAACAAAGTGAGTGTTTATGCAGCTTCCACGTAAGCCACAGAGAATGCATTTTTCTGTCCCCACCAGAACAGGGTGATGCTTTCAAGCTAGCACTGAGAACCAGTGTGCAGGGGCAGGAGAAATCTCACATTCTGCTGTCCATATTGCATAGTATTTACTGGCAGCAGTAGGTTGTTTCCAGATCTAGTGAACCAGTTTTGTTCAGCAGCACCTATTTCTGTTCTTCCTCTTCACAGTATCCTTTGGGGGAAGTTGTTTATAAGGAGGAGAAATGTCCTTTTTCAGCCTACCCTGAATATTAAAGGAGTATAGAACACACTTTTACCTCAAGGCAAGACCACAATGGAACGACACTTTGTTCTGATTCAAGGACTTACAGAAATTTTTCCCAAAGTGCTTCAGCTGAATTGGGAAAGGGAACCTATGGGGATCTTGTGAAAGCAAAGGCAAAAGTTACTCACTTGGGGTATCACCATTAATGTCACATTTCATCATCTCACTGACAAAGTCACCAAGGGAGGAGTAGGAAGAACTTGAATCATCGTAGTCGACACTGTCACTGCCACTGCCACAACAGGTGAGAGAAAAGATGAGTGGCAGCATCAAAGCAACAGCAGKCCCTGAGGCTTTAAAGATGTCAATCAGCACTGTTTTCATGGACCTCCTAAAAATCTCATATTATAGTATCTATAAACAGATTTTACAAGCCAGCTTCATGAAAGGTCAGAGCAAAAAATATAGCTTTCAGGTACATGAAGAGTTAAGGGAAGACACTTAAAGTCTCTTGGCAAAGTTAATGAGCCAAACATAAGTGAGTAGAGAATAGTATATTAATCCACAAAACATGTATGTGTTTATGTAGCACAACTTCACAGGAACTGGGAATCATAAGTAAAAGCATTTCCTTTTTACTAGTGATAAATCCCATYCTGTCAGGAGCAGTGGTGCTGGATAGAATGTAAAATATGTGCAAGTCCAAGTCTGAAAGATCTCACAGACGAGCAAGGAATCAAAGGCAATAAAACTAGACAAAAAACCCAAGAAACATGGCCAAAAACCACTATATGAAGTTTCCTTTCATTTAACTGAACACACAAGGTGATCACAGTGGGCAGTACTAAAAAGTTTTGCGTAACTATGGGTAGGGAAAAGAGATTTGAAAGAGTGGTAGGATGGGTGGGAGTATTTCTAATACTGCAACAGAAATAACCAAAGAAGGAACAACATTAGGGTGTGAGGAAATGACAAATGTCAATTGGCAGACAGGTAGCAACAGAGAACAGKAATATATGTATGGAGAATCACATTAAATGAATACACCAGTAAAGGATTAAGAGGTTTGCTGTGATAACAGAGCAGTGAGAAAATTTACTTCAGTGTCAACATTCTGCTCAGACAAAAAATTAAATAGCAACCTGRCAGGCTACAGGAAAAGGCTGCAAATGAGTAGGAGAGATCCAGCAATCTGAAATAACTGTCATGTGACTATGGCCATGTTCCCCACTAACCTGTCATCAGTGGGATCAGAGTCTGTTTCTTTCTCTGCTGGGACATTCAGGGCTTCAGCCAGCTGTGAATTGCTGTCATAGACTCGATAGTGGATGGGCTGCAGCTGGTGAGCATACCACTTGGGTTTGTCACCAATTAGGGCTGGGTCAAACATGTCTGCACAAAGAAACAAGGAGAGTTTAATCAATCTCATTTGCTGGCGTCAAAGGCTTCATTGGCACTGACACTACCCTCTACTGAGTCTTGCACAAAGGGGCAGTCTTAACTTTAAGAAGCCTACAAGACTTCTCCTCCGTAATCAAACAAGAAAAGAGCTAAAATTAATTGGAGGAGCAACTGGCCAACAGCAGGACTAACTTGGGAGAAACACGAGGCCATACATCAAAGGAGAAAAATGTTCCTTGAACTGGATTTTCCTTCACAGCAGGAATAATATGGTATAAAATTAAGTCCTTCCTTAGAATGTCTACTTTTCAAGTTCCAGTACTACATCCAACTGCGGGAAAGGCAAGACCAAAACTTACTGTTATGAATTCTTTGGAAAGCATAGTTAGTAGGGTTGAGTGACCATTCACCAAAGTATTCTACTGCCTGTGTTCTGGAAAGCTTATCTGCAAAAGGTGTTTGCTTCGGCCTAGAGGCAAGAAAAGAATTTGCCTGGAAGGCCACCACTGGTCGTGGGAAGAGACGAAGAGTGCGAGTATGCATTTGGAAGCCTTGCAAAACATTTGGTGAGTTGAAGAATCTCACCATAGCAACCCTAAAAAGAAAATGAAGAACAATATATGAGATAAAAATACAAAACATAATAAAAAAGAAGACCTTAAGAAGCSATAGGTATGCCACAGACAATGTTTCAAATCTTTGAAAAACAGTAACCTAATTCTTCTTAGGAAACAACTTGAAAAAAATAAAAGAAAAATCCAAACAAACCAAGATCCAAGAAATCACTTTGTTCCAATTCACCATCTTAACAAAAACATCCACTCAGTGAAGGATCTTATTCTTATATCTACATGTTGAGGTAACAACTAAGACCCCAGYTTTCTTTTTTTCTAGCTCAAGGCTTGTTATTTAAGCTGACAATACAGCATCAGACAAATACAGGGAAAGTGGATGATCTATAGGAAAATGCAAGAAGCAAAACACCCCCTCAAGTTATACAATTATGTTCATGCAGGTAATAGATCTGAGATAAACACTATAATTACTGCTCTTTTTCCCCACATGACATGAAGTAGAATCTACAATAGTATGTGACAGATGCTGTTTCTCCCCCAGAAGTGTTTGTGCTGCCCTCAAGTGCAAACTTTTATGAAGACTCAATGCTACCTTCCCGATCAGCCTCACCTGGTAGCCACATCGACAGAGTCCACATCATTTCCATAGATCAAAGGATTGAATTCTGTGGAGGGAGTAGACTGCAAATCATTCTGTGGTCTTCCCAGCAGCAGTGGCACCTCTTGCCCCTCTTGAAACTTCTCTAGGTTAAGAATGGGCTGAGTATTCAGACTCATGCTGGCCAGGGCCTAATGAAGGACATTATGCACACATTCAGCAAGAACAGTTATTTAAGGAACAAAAGATCAGAGCTACCCTGCCCTCTAGGCACTTGCAACAATTATGCATGCTCCATTAACTTGTCTTAAACCACCTCCACGCTGAGTCAACAAATATCTCCAGGCCCTCCTTTATGTTGATTGTCAAAATGATCTCCTCAAYGCTGAAACAGTCCTGGAGCCAGTCAAGGAGTAGCAGAGAATTCCACTTTGCTAGATCATTCATGACATGAAAACACATAGTCCTAATTGGACAACTAGTAGTACAGCACTGCATAACTTGTTGTATAGTTATTTCCATGMGTAATTTGAATACATCTTGGGAACTTGCCTTTAAAGGTGGCTATTCAACCAGTAACTAGACATCCCAGGATAATGTGGAGTCACCTTTACACAAACATCTGACTGTATCCCTGCAAACCTMCACTTCCCATCTGAATGAAGTCTTCATCTGTCCTCACAAAGTCTTCAACGATATGTACTGGAGCAGTACAAGTGGTAAATCAGTCCAGGACACCCAGACCTATCCCAAATCTTCCTCATTTATCCCATTTACCCACTGAGGCTTCACCTTTTAATTTAAGAAATAAATAAATATATAAAACCAAAACAGAGAAACAAACAAAAAAAAAAKCTCCAAAGGAAAAGGGTAAAATGGAAAATTGAGGGAAAAAGAATAAAATAAAGAACCTTGTTGTCGGGAGTGAGCAGCTGTTTCTGAGTGATTGCAGTCATGCTAACCAGACACTGGAGGCAAGATGGAAGATCATATGATAACACCACAGCAGCCCATCAGAGCCAAGACGAACACATTACCACAGAGAAACAGATGGAAGGAAAAAAAAAATATCTATTACTACCAAATATCACAAATGAGAGGAAAACAAAAGGGACCACAAAATAGACACATCTTAGGAAGGAAGTATAACTGCCCCACCCCCAAACATTCATATGTGGCCACTTTGGAAACTGCAAGCCTGTTGTCCTTAATGATGCAGCTAAGAACTTTCTTCTGCAGTTTAAAAGCAGGTATCCTGAAATTCATTTGTTGACTCTAAGACCCAAAGGCACACAAAAGTGTTAACCTTAGTAATGTGGGCCACAATTTAGTCTTTTCTACTTCATACCCAGCAACGGCTCCTTCTTCTTTGCAAATGGCCAACCCTTCATGACAATGCCCATAGGAATACACAGGGATGGTAACCCGAATTTGAGTGAACACTGAGAATTTCAAATACATTTTCAAAAAAACTGCAATTTGTCCTTCTGATACTTGAGTTTGACTTTGCACAAAGAGACAAAGTTTTGCTAAATAGCGCCTGATATTGCAAGGGGGTGAGGCAGCAGTGAGGGGAAGGTTGATCTAACAAAATTTCAGGCAACACATCACTTCCATCTGTGCTGACAGCAGGTACTGGGGTATCACAGAGGTTACACACTTTGCTCTCCTGGTCTATGAGGAAAGAGAAAGAGCAAACCTCATCACATTAGTAACAGACTTTACCTTTAGATACTGCATGCAGCGTGCATAAGGAAAACAGAAATAAAGAGATAAAACCTGCTTGACACGATCAGCCAGGATGACCCAAGCTGATTAATGGCTTAGCAGGACCTGAGAGGAGAGACTGACACCTCACACACAGATCTGTGAATGGAGGGGAAACAAGATGATCATAGCTCGATGGATCAAGTTAGAGTTTAAAGCCCACATGGGAAATGTAAAGGAGGAATCTGGAACTTTCTGTATTAACCGGAAACAAGTTAGCCCCAAACAGTAAAAATCAGAAACCATCTGTTGTGTACAGGGGCATTTCAGCTTTACATTTACTGACTWGCATTCTTATCCACTGGGTAACAGTACATATGCTAAGTTCTACTGAATCTGAGTCCTTTCCCCGAAGTATATTACCTGTTTCAGATGCTTTTTCAGCTCTGAAGCTTCTGGTTCTGGYAATGCTGGCAAAGATTCTGCATTTGTGGGAACAATCACCTGGAATTAAGCACAGCAACAGACTAAAAATTCCCCATTTCCAAAACAGTGTCTCCTGAATCTCCAGCACTCCAGACACCAAAAAGACACAAAGTAAAATAATAATTAAAAACCCCCACTGTTTCACACACAGGCACCTGTTTTCACTTCTTTATTCACTTCTTTATGGTTGTTATTGTTTACAATATAATAAAGAATGGAGTTACTTTATCATTTACCACAAAAACAAGAAGTTTGAATCAACCCACACTTTCCATCAAGTAGATGATCTCATACACATTTTTCTTGAATTAGCCTTGCTCATAGCCCTGTAGAAAGTGAGTTCCATAGCTCCATCTCAATCATAACAACCAAGGCTGCAGAAGGGCCCTTAACAGGCTGGGTTTCTTAGGTAGGGCTATAAGACACGCTCTCACAAACAGTCAAAAAGAAATTTCTATCATTTGCTTGAGGATTTAACTTCTAATGATATAGCCAGACCAATTAACTGAAAAGGATGCTTTATGCAAAAGACATGGGGACCTTGAGAAAAAACAAGGAATGGAATYCTAAAGTTTAAGCTGGAAGTAGCAAAGGCATACTGGGGCCAGGCATTATTAAATTATCAGTGGGTACACTGATGACAGCACACAGTTCCCTGGAAACAAAGCCTCAAGTTCTTATGGGTGCCACTTACCCTATTGGTATCCAGGTCAATAAGCCATACATCATCAGGCATTTTAAAATCCAGTTTGTAAAGGAAAAAACTTGCTGGAACACCAATGATATAAGGTGTAGGGGCTAGAAGCAACTGAGAGAAAGATGGACTTTATTAAGGACAAAATCTGCATTTGATATCACCATGTTCTTCCCAAATATTTATTTATTGACTACAGTATGTTTATAGCAGAGTAGACAACACAAAAGGCATTGATAAATAAGTAATTAATATCATACAACTTTGGACCCTCCTCAATAAACTTTAATACTCAGTTTGGAGGAGAATGTTGGGGGGTAAACACTTATCATAATATTGTAGATCTATGGTTGTTCAGTCCATYGTGAACTATTGCTTTGAATCATTCTACTCACTGAATGCAACATTCTGTGCTCTGAAGATATCCTAAATAACTGGTGTTACCTATGATTTAAATAGTCACACTCCAGCAATGTTCTTTGCAAGGCAGATTTTGCTACAATGTCTGAGAAGACAGCGATGAATGAAATAACTACAACTGTAAGAGTTTTAGGCATCACAGAAACATCTTTTGTGAAAGACCAATAAAAGAAATATATGTACCTGTTCTGCAGAGGCCATGCAGGTGGGAAGCAGAGGGATCACTGGGAACATGTACTCTAACGGGTAGATCATGGCCACAAAGGCCATCACAGACATTGAAAGTGCATTATAATCTCGGGACTGCAATACAACCTGCAACCAAAGAAACTGCCATTAGCACTACAGCAACCATTGACCTCTAATACTCATCTCAGGTGTATACAAAGATCACAGATTTTATGATCTCTGCAGACTCCAATTCAAYGGCTGTTAACAGGGTAACCCTCCACTAATCTGTCTGAAAACAAGCTTCAGGGGTTTTTTTGAGTGAGAACAGAACTTTTCAAAACAGAAACCTCAGAAGGAGCTATTTCCTCCCCTCATCCTCCACAGACTGATTCCAGGCAGTGCAGGAAGACAGCTGTTCTACACATCCAGCCTACCCTGGTTTTCAAGAGGGCAGAACTTCCTACACACTTTTCAAAGATCAACTCTTCCCTTCTTACCTTGTGCTCCAGAAGAATGCAGGTCAGCACCTGTAGGCAGGCATCCACTCCCAATAACTCCAAAGGCAGATGTAATGGAAAATCCACCAAAGTGAAGCGGGATGGATCAGGAAGAGCAAAGGTCAAAGCTGGCTGCAACTCATGTGGCAAGACTTCCACATCCACTCGCTTCTGCCCAGCAACGGGCATCGGTGAGCGGAGCAGCCGGTATATCCAAGCTTCAATCTCCCGCAAGTCATGAAGCAACGCGCTAGACTTTTCCTCCACCAGGAGGGAGCCCGTGAAAATCCGCCACATTGTATCCCTGGACAGGGAGAATGGCCAAGGTTAACACTACAAGAACCACATTATGCAAAGCTCTTCCAAAGAAAGGGGAGATCCACCAAGGATTAAAAGAGGCAACTAACAAACTAACAAACATTTGATCATACAAAGGAATGGAAGATACGGATTTAAACCTACTGACACAACCCACAAAGTTAGGAAGAATAAATCTTTCTGTGGCAGAGATCAACACAAGTATGTCACTTGAGATTTTAAGGATCCAGTCAGGTCCAGATCTCTGAAGAACCCTCATCATCCTCATGCTTGAAATTCAGAAGGCACATAGGGTACACTCCTATCTCATCCAGAATTGTAGCAGATTGACTGTCCAAGATACTCCAGATGTTTTGGCATGGTAAAACACCCTTTGTCATTCTGCCCTAAATCTCACTRTATCATTCTTAAGAGCTGAATAAACTATGGCAAAAAACATGGATCTATTTCAGCYAAATCTCTGAAAGCTATGTAGAAAACATTAAGGTACCTCAGCAAAATAAGCAGCAAGTTTTCCACACCCTAAATTAGCAATCTGCAAACCTGTAGCTCGCAGACAGGCTGGCCAAAAGGCATGTACAGCATTGCTCAGGGCCTTCAGAACTTCAAAACGCAAAGCTGGGTCTGACAAGGGAAGCTCAGAGTCTTGTCCACTTCAGCCCTTTATCCTGTGAAGGCTGCAAACCTTCTGTATTCATTTTCCAAATAACTTCAGCCTGGTAAATATCTAGAGTTACTGTAATAGATCCCTTAGAAAACTATGGGTTCAAATTAGAGGTTCTATCTTACAGTTCATAACTTTTAAAAAAATAAAGACAAGGAAAAAATACTATGACACTGGAAGCTTCACAAAGACAGAATAATTAGAGAAATTTGGATAGCACAAAATAATAGCAATTTGAAATTATGCTGAGTACATGATACGCCTCTCAGGAACAGTGATGCTTCTCATSCTCCACTCTTTCTTCAGCTACTTGTCATGCACAAGACATTAGGCTGTTAAGAGGTGTGCTCCACCTTTTGCCAACTGTAAGGTTCAGTTTCACTTTTCCAGGTCACCGCTAGGAAACCACATGGTAATTCAAACCTGCTGCTTTACTTTTCCCAGACTTATGCCCACTATTCCTTCTGTTGCCATCCTCATCCATYACTCAATTATTCTGTTTAAGAATTATGTCCAATAAGAGCAATTTTTTCAAATACCACACACCATCAAAACATTGGAATACTCTACCACCCCTTCCAAAAAATCATGAGCTCACTGAATTTAGGAAAATCATAACATTCAGTGGGGTATCTTTCCTCAATAATTATCAGATTAAACCAAGTGATAAACAGCTTCCTTAATACATACTTCCATTGGGGGGAGAAGTTTTGTTTCGACAAAATAATTTATTCTCCATCAGTGGATTCAGGTGATAAATCTGCTAATGCAGGAATCAGACACACAGAACAGTCTCCTAGAACTATTCCAGGGCACAAACTGAAGAAGTAGGCCACTGTTCTATGAATAGGACACATTTCCCATTTCATGCAAAATGTAAAGAGCTTATAAAAATAAAAMTTATAATAATATTGCCATTTTTTGCTTTTGACATGTTTAATTTGGAGTGTACCAAGCTATTTAACTCACATTATGTACTATCTCACAGTCCTGTTCCTCAAACTGTTGAGATAATCTCCTGCTTCTTCAGAAGTTAATTTTATACTTTTGCTATTCAGTTGGCATAGTGGAAAGGAAAATACCATCCCAGAATGTAGGTGTCAGGCACAGTAGCACAGATACACATCCTTGACTGAAATACATAAAAACGTTGTTTCTTCCACACCCTACAGTGCAACAGTTTTTGTTACATACCCAACACTATAATAGCAGATACATAAAATACACACCAAGTTCCTGTCAATTTGCTGTTAACAACAACCATTCACGTATGTTTCCTAGACAACTACTTCATTTTCTACCTCTCCTCCCTCTCTCCTTCAAATGTTGTACTTTGACCTATTTCAGCTGATCCTGCCTCTCTAGTTTTTTCTCTCCCACACTGAAGTTCAGATTGTTTCATAAGCTTGTTAAGCACATTTTCATCATTTCCCTTCAGCCCAAGTGGAAATTCTCTCTTTTATTTCTTGGCTGCTTCCAGTTTCCCAGAGAATCAGTCCTGACATACACTGCCACAGAGCTTAAATGCCAAAGCAGCAGTAACAGCATCAGCACTCAGCTTCAGTTGTCAGAAGGGTAGAACCTCCTTAGGTGTATCAAAAATTAAAATAATACAAGATTACAGAATCAGAGAGGTAAGTTTTAAAGGAAAATTTCCTTTTCCTACTGCAAGCCTGGGTTAAAGCAATGAAAAAGGGCAACCCTTTGTGTTTGGCTGCTTCTGCCACCACATCTGCAGCCACAATTTGCCATGCAGACAATTGCATCACTGAACACAAATAGTAGGAGGAAGAAGTTCTTCCCTCTCAACATACCTCTGCACCCCACGAGGAATCCCCAACTTCTTGCCCAACAGTCTCTCACTACAGCAGTCCACAAGTCTCTTGAGGGTGTAGAGACAYTCACGAAAGGTGGAAAAGAAGGGATAATGACTAAGGATGCACAGAGAAGTCAGGGTGCTGTTCCGAGAGCGATGGCTGCCTTTGGCCAGGCGCTTATTGCGCGGGGATCGATTCACGTCGGGCGTAGACTCTGCACTGGGAGCCTGCAGTGAAGAGCCGCTCTCGGAACTCTCRGTGCCCGCTTCCTCTTGGGGTGCTGGTGCATCCCCAGATTTAGGGATCTTCTGTCCCTCCCGAGCTCGATGTGCCCCTGTGCCTTCTCCCTTCTCTTTGGGCACTCGCTTCTGGAAGGAGCGGTAGAAGTTGACACAGATTCCATAGCGAGTGACCCCTGTATCCTTGTCTGTGAGGGTGAACACGAAGGAAGTGTCATCCCGGAAGCTCATGCGCTTTTGYCGCACGCTCAGGCACCCTTCTGGCTGGCAGAAGAACACAACATCGGGTGGGAGAGGAAAGTCTGCATGGTCTTCCAGAGGGTAACGTCGCAGCAGCTCAGGAGTCTGAGCAACACTATCGCTGCTTGGGTGCCTACAAAAGAAGGAAACAAAAAACCCCATACATAATTAATTAATACCAATGAAAAATTTTAAGAACTTCCCTATTAATGTGTCAGGAGCTTGTGGACTCAGCTTCATCTTTGTTTCCTCTCTTCCCTTCTATCCAGGGAAAGTGAAGCTACTCACTGACTAGCCACAAAGCTCAGTCAATAGCACAAGAAAGGTTAAGTAAAGAAGTCTAAGTCTACACCATCATTAGCAAGGAGCCTGTTMAAATTCGACCAAGAAAAGGACTTCCAGGAGTATGGTGTTCCCCGGAGAACACTGTATTGTCATGTTTCTCTGACTTTGACTATCAAAATTCATTTAACTGCACAGATCCCTGGGTAACACTTTGGTCTTCCAAAGTGTTCCAAACCTTGTCCCTCTCCAAATACAGTCAAGAAAAAGCCCCTGGATTTCAGCCATTTATGAATAAGACGAAGAATTAAATGAGAAAATCCAGTACCAATTCCTAACTGGAAAAACAAGAATTTACAAGGAAAGAACTCAGATGAATAGTGGAGTGACATGGACCTCATCCTAAAAATTTTTCATTGAAAAGTTCCAGCAACCACAGTTACATATGTGTTTGATTTTCAGGATGGATTTAAAATGTATCATACTACAAAAGCTGTGTGGTACCAAGCAGACCTATTTACCACTGTGACTCACTAATCTTTGTACCACAAATCACAAAACACAAAAACAGAAAAGCAATACTGTTGTTTCCTAATTTTCCACTAGAAAAACAGATTCTTTCAAGATATTAAGCTTTTGCCTATTCCAAAATACAAATGACACTTGCTTTTTCATATAAGAGATGTGAAAAAACCCGAACAAGTAGTAACAGAATGTTTGCAACTTACAAAAGAAAATCACTGGTGTAGATGATAGCTCTGGTGACTAATTCTTCCAGACTAATATTTTATTTAAAACAAGTAAAAATGCCTACATAATAGAACTGGTAACAAGATTCATACTGTCTGTACAGTTAGATACTGAAATACTGCATGAAAGAAAAAGAAACACTAAAATGCTTTTTATATGTTAATGGATATCATGTGCTGAAGAAGAAATGTCAAGTAACACTGGTACTATTTAGAGAGTCTATTCGGCAGCAAATGGTCAAAAAAATCACATCAACAAAGCACCAGTGCATTTATCACCATTTCATGCCTTTGCAGTAATATTAGCTACAAGGACTGAGTTTTCTCCAACACTGAGAAAATTTGAACCTAATAAAAGGGAATAGTTTCAAAAAGCATTGCTATTTGTGCACAGTGGATAACAAGATGTAACAGTAAAGGCCACATGGAGCTCCTAAGGACTTTGTAGTAGAAGCTACTTCAGTCAGCTCCATCTCTCATTGCAAGCATTTGCTGAAGTGCCAAATGAGACAGCAAACAGTAGCAGTCTAACTAGCATGGGCTGGCAAAAAGCAAGAGAACTGTAGGAGTCCAGGAGCGATACTAGTGAATTTCTAAGTGAGAACATCAGACATGATAAGCTTCACTGGAGGAGGCAGTTAACATTTCTTCCTCTTTTCTCTAGTTCGTGACACACATATGGAAAATTTGCTACACACATGAAGAAGTATTAAACTATTGAAGTGTTCTGTCCATAAAATACAATAAGAAAATAACTATTAGTTAGGATTATGTAATTTCCTCCACTTAGTCTATTTAAACATTGCATTCAAAGTATTCTAAATAGAAAGCAAAAGGTACTGCAGCAGGCTGATGTATATGAACCACTGATATCTAAAAATGAAAGCAAAATAGGCTTTTGAATACACTCAGTACAGATTGGCAGAAAGCTGCTGCATAAACTTTGAATAAGAAAAAAATGACATTTACTGAGCTCCTATATATTTGACAAACAGAACACACATCAACCCTACATTTCATATGCRCTTCAAGTAAACATGCATAACATTTTATCTATTAATAAGACTTTAAAACCAGAAAGCATTCACATCATTCCTATGAGGATAAGTAAGTATTAGAGGGAGAAACAGCCAAGTAAAGCAAGTTCCAGATTTTTTTTAACTGAGTTTACAGACTACACTTAAAAAGCTAGAAATAAAAGCAGTAGAAAACTAGTATTTTACTTGCGTTTAGTTTTCAGTGTTTTCAATTTATTAATCCTTCTGTCCTGATGCCAGTAGAAGCAATGAAGTTCAGACACACAGACTACCACAGAGTGACAGAAAAATTAGCTTTTCTTAGTCACCCTCTGCAGACCCTTGACAAGAAGTCTAAAGGCCACAAGTTAAAAAGTTTGGCTGCACTAGTACCTTGCAAGAAGTGCCCTGGCTCAGGTAGGTGCTCCCCTTAGGGCAGCATTCTGCAGACATTTCAGACAGCACTTTCTGAGCATCAGGCAAGGCTTCTTTAATGGATGCAAGGCTATTTATCCCCACTCCACTGCCCAAGCAAAAGCTCTGCTGAGACTGTTTCACATTACCTGGCTCCAATGATCACAAGATAGTCAAGTAGCCGAGAGCAGATTTTCTTTTTCTGCACCATTGTCCTTGATGCCCCTCCCTATGTCATCTCAGGGAATTTCTGTTCATTGATCCAGTGGTCAGTTATCCTGCCAGCCGTGATCGCTGCCGTGGGGAAGACAATCTGCTTGSAGCTGTCTGGCAAGTCCAATCTATAATAAAGAAAAGCAGGAGTGTCAAAAGCACAACCAGGAATATCAAATAAATATAAGCAACTTCATGACCTTAATTACATCCCCCAAAAGCCTCACTGTTATGTGCAGTCATGGCTACCCACAGATCTTTATGAGTATAAAAACACAGCCATATGCCCATAAGGGCAGAGAGATGAAAAAAATGAAAAAGTACAAGAATTCATGGCTGGACTCATAGAGATATTTTCCAACATAAATGATTTCATGATCCTATGCTAAGGGAGAACACAGACTAACAATGAGGAAAAGAGCAACTCATTAAATGGTTTGTGTGCTGCTTAGGCAAATCCTTAAGATCCCTACAGTGCGTGGGAAAGGAACTTCAACTGGCAAGTCTGAAAAAAAAACACAACCTGAATTTTAGCTGATAAAATGCATAAAGAGTATAACTAAAGAAGGGGTAACATCCCAAGAAGTCCAATTTGATAAAATGCATCCCACCATCCCAAACAACAAGTGGCTGTCAGCAAGAATGATCTTCCCAGAGACTGATCTCTAACACTTTTTCTGTGAAGATACAGAACTGAAATTCTACAGAATTGCAGTTTGCAATAGCAGAAGTGCAGCTTGTAAATCATACTGTTTTTTCCACTTACCTCATTCAATTCCATTTATCTTGTTTAACTTCACCACTTACTTCTTATACCCATGCCTACCTACAGCAAATTTCTCTGAACATTTTATAACAGAAATATTCTCTTGGTAAAACTGAGATTTTACTGCATTATTACTACTTGTCAATAATTATGCTTAGTAGATATCACAAATTCAGTAAGTACTGCAAAATAATTATTTCCAACCCCACCATTCATATTTCATAGAATTAATAAAAGAGAAAAGAGAAAAATAAAGCGTTAAAAAGGAATGCAGTTTCACTCTACAGTGTTCCCTATTTACATTTGAAACCAACCTGAAAACAGAAACTTTCTGAAATGGCAAGTTCTCAGAAACTCTAAAAATCAGAGATGCTCAGAGTATTCTAGAAGCTTACTGAGCATTCYAATGAAAATTTTAATAGGGTTTATTTTATATTAAAAAAATTTAATTGATTGCTTTTTGGGGCATATTCAGAATAAGGTTTCCATCTCAGTTCATGGCTACTTCCTAAGACCATYACAGAATTATTATTCCTGTACTAAAATCTATCTGTTCTGCAGCATAAATGTTTAGATCTTATTTGTATAAAATAACATATTTGCTAACAATCTGTAAATCCCAGTAAAATCAGGCAATTTTATTGCTGTTTCTCTTATTCCTTCACAAGCACTGTAATTGTCAGCATCTCACATTTGAAGTCCAGCAATATATTTGTTTTTTTCCCAGTCCTTCACTTTGCAAGGATGGAGCAGGGTAATTTTATTCATTAGCCCTCCAAACAGCACTAAAAACACAAACACACAAAGAAGCATACTAGCCAGTATTATTAAGGAATAAGAAATGGAAAGAAACTTTAACCCTGACATATAAAAAATCCCACATTTTGTGAAACTTTGTGGCATGTTTTTAGTAGATCCTCAACTACAATTGCCATAGATTCCTAAGTGACAGCACTATGAATTATCTTCTCTGAGCAGCAATACTGTTGTAAATTATCTTCTCTGAACAACAGAGAAAATACAGACACAGGAAGCAAAGTTTCTGTTTCTTCATTTTAATGACATTATTGAAAACATTGTAGAATCCGTCCTGGAAAAGCTCTTGATCCTTGATATTCTGAAAATATCTTGGCATGGAAAAATTCAAGAGGAACAAGATGAAGTTGAGATATCAAGTGATGCTTTTTGTCTCCAGTTTGAAGAACTACTTTATCTGTTTCCTTTTCAAACAGCTTTCACCAGAACTCTTTAAGGAACAAACTGTTCAGTTACAGAGGTGGGCATAGTAATAAGTTATCACAATGTAACCTAAAAGCATGACTTCAAGGAAATTCTGCTACTTAGTGGTAACCAAACATGTTTTCCTCAGAAACACAGGCTATCCTACCCCTCAGTGAAGGTGGAGAAAGTAAACTGCATTTGTCTTGTGACTGCAATTCATTACACATATTTCCCACAGCTTTGCAGAGGAGTTAGCAAGGCATGCATTATGAAGATCTCAATTGGAAACCATGAAATTTTAAGAATATCTGAGTAGACAAGTACAAGGAACATATGCAGGGCTTACAATGTCCCTGGAATAGCTGAAGCCACATCCCAGTGACACCAGACATTAAAATCTCCGTCAGTTTCCACCATTTCTGCTTTCTACTGCACCACAGGCAGACCAGACTGATGCAGATGCTGTGCCAGGGCTTCCAGAGCCACCTTTACTGATTAACTGCATTTAACAACACAACAGTTAAAGTGAGACATAAGAGGACAAAGGCATTTTTTGGGGAAGATGAATTTTTGTTGGATTGGAGAAAGAGGTAGAAGAATTAGAACCAAGTTTAGGGGTTTTGTCTTCTTTTATTCAGTCGTTCRCTTCTTCAGAGATCTAGCAATGGTTGATGACAGCACCTAAAGAGTATTGCATCAGTATTTGTTGGAACTCATCTTCCTACTCCTGCTTGGAATCAGACACCACTATTGATGATCTGTATACAGCAACATAAACAGGAATCACAGTCCTGCCTCCTACTCCCTAGCTGCCTAAAGCTTCCTTTCAGGCCAGTGTCATTCCCTTCCCTGTGCTGGCAGAAGTGTTTGTGCAGATACATGGCAAAAGAGACTGTGGAATCGATATGGACAAATCTAACACCCTCCCTTCTCCTGCCTTGCCACTTTTGTTTCTACTAAGTAATTTTTTTTTTCAGTTGTGTCACCAAGTGGTCCCACACATGCTTGTGCAGGCACAAAGAAAAGGTAGGAGCAAGCAGTTAAGGGAATCTGGAAGACCTGACTGAACATAATGTCATCACAGAACTACAGACAGCACCGCCACAGGCAATACAGAGGTAGTTTCTTTCTCAGAGATTTGCTATCATACTTCCAATACCTCCTAGATTTTTGAGAATAAGTACARTTAGGACAGAAATAGATCAAACATCTGAGAGATACTTCAGTTTTTCCTCTTTCATGTTGGAATTTGGACCTGAACCAAGAGATTAACTTAACTCTGAGATGGTRCAGGTCTTGATGTGTCAAAACTTCTCTCTCTCTCTCAAACTGCTTTAACTTTAGGTTGCTTTCTCTGGAAAGGTGTTCTGCAGGATCTTTCTCTTTGCAAGCATATTGGAACCAGCCCTTTAAAGGCTGACTGCTCAAGCAGCACTTGAGACTTTCTACAACTTCAGTTCYAGGAAAGGAGAAAAATGAAGGCCACCACAGAAACATACTGCACAAACAGACAACATCTCAGACAACACCAAAATTGAAATAAGCCCTTGTATGGATGGTGAACAGGTTGGTGAGAACTAACACTACCCACACACTGTACCAGCTGTCAGCAATACTCGCTAGTAAAAGTTGGCCCCATAGCCTAGACACAAGACAAAAGGCCAGAACCAGCACGAAATCATGGTCTACCAGAAACTCAAGATATGAAAAAAGTGTTTAAAACAACAAACACTTCTATTACTGCCATTACTCTGCATTTCAAAATTCCCCAAACACCCACATTTTAGGTTGTAACACAACTTCTAAGATGACAATCTGCATGGTATTCTGCAATGCAAAGCCCTCCCAGAAAAAAAGTCTTTATGAACACACACACATATTCATAAAAAGCACCACACCACACAACAGATATGGCAGCATGAAAGAATTATAGCAGACTTTTTATCAGTTTAGAGTCATCTGAATCAGATCCATATCCGGCAATAGTCTCATGAGACATCAATCATGCTGCAACCCTGTTTCATCTATCCCTTGGAGTCTTCAATCTTTTTTCAGTGTCTTCTCATTCAAGACACAAATCTCCAGGAACAAAGCAATTTAATAAAAAAAATAATTTGAATACAACCAATTGTTAATGCAACTTGTGTCACTGTGTGGGGTCTGGCTGAGATGGAGTTTATTTTCCCCACAGCAGCTCTCCCAATGATGTGCTGTGCACTGGTAACTGGAAAGATGTTGATAATACACCAGTATTTTGACTATTGCTGAGCAGTGCTAGCACAGCATTAAGGCTGTATCTCCAAAATCCACCCCCAGCAGGGGACATACCAGGACAGCTGACCCAAACTGACCAGAGGGATATCCTATATGACAGCAGCTCAGCAAAAAAAAGCTAAGAGAGAGGAGGCGAAAGAGTGAGAATCCATCATTTGAAACATTTGTCTTCCAGAGCAGCCACTAAGCCTACTGAAGCACTGCTTCCCAGGAGATCGCCAGACAGCACTTGCTTCTGGGAAGCAGATAATAACATTTATTGGGCTTCTTTGCTTCCATGAATGCAACCTTTGCTTTATTAAACTGCCTTTACCTTGACCCACAAGGTTTTTTCYATCTTATTTTCTTCCTTCTTTCCTGCTGAGGAGGTGAGTGATAGAGTGGCTTGGTGGACAACTGGCATCCAGCCAAGGCCAACCCACCACACTCACCTGCCGCTGTTTTCTTCACAGAGGCTTCCAGCTTTGATAAGCCAGGCTTACACCAAACTGCACAATGCTTTATTTACATCATTCCTTGCAAAAATCATATGAAGATTATATAAAGGTTAATTTCCAGTATGAAGATGCAAAGTCCTGCTCTCCTTACMACTCTTCCATACTTAAGTATGGTACCAGAAAGGCTTCTCCCTCCATTATCTCCAGCTTTTACTGTTAAAAGGATCATACTGCACAGTTCACCATTGCATCGATACCTTCAGCACATAAATCAGCATCCTACAATTCAATCTGCACACTGAATAAAGAGCATAGAGTGGGACATTAATTTGTAAGAGAAAAAAGAGGACATTGTGAAGGAGAACAGATTACAGAACAGAAGCCACATGAATTATAGTTCATGAAATTTCAGCTTGTGAAGGACCAGATT